GGAAGGAAGGAAGGAAGGAAGGAAGGAAGGAAGGAAGGAAGGAAGGACCTCAAGATGCTTAATGGGGCATCCATAACTTGAGTGCCAACAATTGGGCAGAGAGTGCTATCATTATCCTCTGCTTTGGGGCGGCCCTACAGCTTGGACTTGATGTCAAAGGATCTGGCTGGCTGGGTCATTTCCAAAATAAATGGGTAGTGCCTGAAGCATCTTCAAGGCATGGCATCCATTCTCATTCTTAACCTCCCCCAGCTTACCAGTTGAGGAACTGGGAGGGCAGTGCAGGTGGAGTGAACACCACTCCAGCGGGGGGGCTGGCCGTATTCCTGGGCTAATGGTGCCAGCCAGCTGAGCTTGGCAAGGCAGTGGTCAGTTGGTCCCCAAATATCACAGAAACAAAAACAAGAAAAAGGGAGTTTGGATGAAGCTGCCAGTAAAAGAAACCTAATCTTAAAAATGCTTCATCTACAGAGCCAATTCAGATAAGCCAGAATGAGAGAAACCAAGTTTTTCTTCTTATTATTTACTGACAAAATGAAAACCCTCCTAAAAAGGAGGCGGCCAAACTAGATGACAAGATATAAGGAACAGGAAAACAGGAACAGCCTTTAATGAAAACATGCGAGCTAAAATATACAGTCTGTCAAATCTGCCTAAAACAACAGATTGCAATTAAACATGAAAGGAAAATCTTCCGCAAACCTTCTGGGAGTGAATTCATCTATGGTGACCAGGCTCATAGTACATGCTAAACGAGGGTTTTAACCCTAGCTTGATCCAGCCACAGTGGTTGCATTCACACAGAATACAAACCTGTAACAGCGTGTTCTCTCTCTCTCTCTCTCTCTCTCTGTGTGTGTGTGTGTGTGTGGTATGTGCATTGCACTGAAACAAATGATGGTTTACAGTATTGTGATGCATTGTGGCCTCCTGCCCCTCTTTTTACTTCCACCCTAATAGCTCTCATTTCTGACAAGGAGGTCACAAACACCAGTCACAACTTTGGAGGCTCAAACAGCAATCCAGAGAAATATTTTAAAATACCAGCAAGAAGTGCAAGACATGGTTTAATAAATGACAAATTTCTCACAGCAGTCCTGCTGAATGTGCAGGGCCTACAAAGTCCCTTCTCAATCACAGCTCTATTATTTATTAGTAACAGAAATTCACTGTATGACAAGAGTTATCTAATTACTTGCATCTTACCTTTTTTGAACAATAAAGGGACTGTTTAACCACAATATTTTTGTTTTCTTGAGCTAATTACAGCAGCCTGCCTCGGTTTAGAAGCCAAAATGCTTTAAGAGTCTATTTCCCAGAAACAAAAAGACTTGGGCAAAGTGTGGATTTAGCGTAGCAAAACTACAGAACCATTTTGAAGGAATGCAGGGGCCGTTTATAATAATCAGTGTTCGACTATCTCCTTCTCCAGGCTCTGTGTAAAGAACTAGGAGTGACTTTCTTTGGGGAGGAAGACACAGTTTCTGTCTGTTCCTTGTTTTGATAACTCTCCTCTGGTATCAGATTGGTGTTTATTTTTTCCTGACTGAGATCTGGGCTTCGCAGAGCATGACTCTGAAAGACTTTGCACCAGCTAAAATACCCTTTTGCTATTCTACAGCATTACTGCAGGCTATACTCATGGTAATCAACCCACAGATTGCTCCCATGACTTTTTAACCATACAAATGAAGACAGCTTCATTCATGTCAGAAAAATCCCAAGTTGTTGTTACTTAAGCATCATGTGCGATGATGGCTAAAGAATTAGAATTGTTAAACTGTACCACAAACAAAGTAAAACTAATAGAATCACAAAGATAATACCCCAAACTCTGATAATTATCACAAATAGCCTAATTGGACTATTTTCTTTTTCACTCCCTTCTATAACTGAACGTTTATCCTTTTGAATAGGGAGCTAATTTTCAAAGGGATACAGTACAGTCCCTGCAATTTGCTGTCTCTAAATTTTGGGAGGAAGAGAAGAAGAATACGAAAAGCACATGTTCCATTTTAGTTCTGCATCATTTTCAGGGTCCTAATCTAAATAAGTGATTCTCTTACAAAGCCCTACAAAGCACCAACGTGCAACAAAATAATCTTAGGATCAAGACCCATTTCTCCACTTCCCCTGTACAGTTTAGCTTAAAAAGTGATTTTCCCTGATGCTTCCCATCTCATTTTCTGTGCACACACCAAACAAATCCATCACTTCCCAGCAGCCAGAGGTCAGCACAAGACAAGGGGGAGGGTAAGGGCATTATTTAAAGAGAGAACGAGAGGTGGAATATGATTTTCACAAATCTGTTTGTTAGCAATAGACCAACGCTGCAGCAGTCGGTAGCATTCAAGAGGATTAATCCGTGCTATTAACGCAGATTTCTCCCGCAGCTTTTGAATGCCAAATCAAAAAAGAAACAAAAAGGGCCATGAGTCAAGACGAAGACAACCACCTAACACCAACATTCACATTACCGGAGCTCCGTTTCCTCCGCCCGCAAGACTAGAGATGGGAAGATTAAGACCTAAATGTGATATGACAAACCCAGCCTAAAGCAACGTGTCAGAGACCATATCGCACAAAATCATTTTCTGGGACTTGACAATCACCCAACCTTCACCAGCCAGCTTCCACTTAAGCGCAGCCTCCTCTCTTCGGGTTGATGCTCTCCAGGATGTTAAGCCATCTAGCCAACTTTCACGGGCACCCCGCGCTCCTTCGTTTCAGGCAGGAACAACGCTCTGGGTCTGGGAAGCCCAGTTGCTGCGCCCGCTTGGTGGGCGCTTTGGAAGAGATTTCTGGGCTTCGCAAGTGGGCGCCTCCACGAAGCCAGAGCTCAGCCTTCACCCCGGCCGCCTGCCTCACCTTCGGGCAGGAGAGCAGGATGAGTTTCTGCACCCCACGCTCCATGCAAGCCCACCCCCGGGGAGCAGGCTCCGGGGACCCAAGCTGGTGCCCTAAAGCAAAGGTTCAGGAGCCGCTTCCCCAAGGAAGGCAGCTGGGTTGATGTCCCGGGTTCCCTCCAGACGGTGCTCTGCACCTAGCCATGGTTTCAGAGAGGGAACTTTTGAGTCCCGTTTGAGTGCCCTGGAAGCCATTCAGCGCCCATATTAGCCAAATCCAAAGCTTCTTCTCCAGCGAGCGGGAGCCCGGGGTTGGGCAAAGGCTGGCAACGCCAAGGCAGCCGAACCTGGGCGCGCAGTCGAGCTTCTGGCGGATCTCCGGAAACAAACGCGCAAGTTCCCGCTCAGCCCGGGACCTTCGGAGAATGTTTGGCAGCGCCGCCAACAACGACGCCACCCAACGCTCCACGCCCCGGGTGCCCCTGCGGAGCCTCCGCCAACTCAGCCCGGGAGAGAGACGGGGAGAGGGGCGGTCGGGCTGGAAACTCGGCCGTCCCGCTGCGGGGCCGGGACCGGAGGGGGCCTGGGCGAAGGAAGCGGCGGGGCGCTGGCGAAGCCTTGGGGGGGGCTTCCTTTCTCTTCCCCCAACGGGGCGCCACGCCGGGGATTGAAGGCGCACAAAGCCCACCCGAAGCCCCGCTTCCCCGCCGGGCAAAGGCGTCCCGGACTCGCTCTGCTCCGAAGGGGAGTTCGCGCGGGGGAGAAGCCCCTCCGAGCCCGACCCCGCGGGGCTCTCCCTGCGCAGAGACCCGGGAAGCCTGCCAGGCACCCACCGCGGCTCCCCGCTCGCGCCCCCCGGGACCCCCAAGGCCGGGACCGGCCCCCGCGACGCCCGGCCGGAGCAGCGGCGTCCGGGGCTCCGCCGCCCGCCCTGCCCTCCTCCGCTCGGGGAGCCGGGCCGGCGCCGCTTCCCCCGCCGAGCCCCCCGGGCGCCCCTCACCTTTCATCGCGGCGCTGACCAAGCACATCATTCGGCGGGGCTGCGGCGGCTCCGGCTCCGGCTCCTCCGCGGCAGGCGCCCGCCAGGCAGCGCGACCGGCCCTGGCAGCCTCGGCGGCGGCGGCGGCGGCAGCCTCCGCCTCTCGCGCGCCGCGGCCCAGCTGAGGCGCCATGTGACCGGCCGGAGCCCCGCCGGGCCGCCCCTCGCTCGCCTCGCCCCGCCGCCGCCGCTCCGCCCCGCCTCGCCCGCCCGAAGCCTCCCCGCCCCGTCGGCAGCAGAGGCGGGAGAGGCGCGGGGGCTGCTGCGCTGCTGTGCCAGGGCGGGCGGGGGGGGGGGGCAGGGGGGGGCCTGCCCCCCCCCCCCCCCTGGGGCCCCCGGAATCGGGCCCCCCCCCCCCCGCGCAGGAGGGCAAAGCGGGACGGAGCCCCTCCCTCTTTGGCCGATTCGGGTGGCAAGGGGGCTTCCTCGGACAGAGAGGCTGCCTTTTCCTCCCCGATTGGGCAGTGGATGGAGGGGGGCAGAACGCAGACACACACACACACACACACACACACACACACACACACACACAGGTGGCAGCCCAGCGGCCAGGTAGAGCCCCGACCTAAAGGCCGTGCCTGAGTCACCTGAATGGAGATCGGCAGCCTTAAGAGCAGCGACCCCCCCCCCCCCCAAATACAATTTGCCCTGGCTGGAGATAATTTCTGTGTCTGAAGGTAAACTCCCTCCAACAGCCCCCAACTCAGGTTCTCCTGCTCGGCCTTTGCCCCCTGGGTCAATCGTGGCCCAAGCCCTCCAGCCAGGCAAGGGTGGCCCCCAGGGGCTTTGCAAAACAAGGCAAGCCTCCCGTCCTGATGGCCCCGGACAAAGCGCCCTCTGACCAGATCCTCACAGTGACACCCCCGCACAGTCCCATCCTCCACATTCGGGCCCTGCACCTGCAGCCTCCTGGGCCCACCTGACTGCCACCTGCCACCTCCCCAGCTGGCTTCCGACAAGTCAGCTCAATGGGGGAAACCAGGTTTGTTTAACAACCTTGGCAGAAAAGAAGTCATAGAATTGGACGTGACTCACTTAATGTCCACATCACGTAGCAACTGAAGAAAGACCAAAAGGGGAAACCAAGCCTTGTATTCTCCATGGTCCTTATTACGTCTTGGGGGTCGGGGGGAGGGAGAAGCTCCAGATGGATTGATTGAGCCGCGTCTCTCAGCCCAGACCAAAAGACCCCCATGGAAACCCCGCCCTGCCGCTCATCTGCAGCAACCCCCGCCCCAGCTTTTGGAGCCGGAGAAGAAAAGGCAGAGACCCCCACACACACACACACACACACCTCCCGGCCTTCGCCTGAGCCCAGCCTGCCCAGCTCTCGGCCTCTTCACAATTCTTGGCTGTTGGTACATTTTGACAGGCAAAAGCCATAATTACGACTTTGGGACTGAATGAACTGCAGATCTTGTAGCTCGACAGAAATGGCACTTTCGGCTGGGCCGGGCTTTACCGAATGGAGCAGAAATGAAAAGCGGCAGCAGGAAGGAGTGGGGGGTGGGTGGGTGGGTGGGCAGGAAACCCACCCAATTGAATTGCCTGGCAATTTGTCTGTCTCAGCAAAACAGGGGTTCTCCTTCTCCCTTCTCTCTAGATGGGGGAAAGCAGGAGATCAAAGCTCTCAACCGTGTTGCTGGAAGCCAAAATTGTATACAAACCGTGTGTTAAAATATGCCTGGAAGAGAGCTGGCTTATTGTGGGTGGGTGGGGGGGGGTGTAGGATGAAGGGAGGGGCTACAGATCTACAAGAGAGCTCCTTCTGGACTACAAACTCCATGGGGTTGTTCTGCCCAGGCGTCCTAGATCTGGGAGTTGCACCAAGCCAGGTGGCCCCAGGCAGCCGGTCTGATGCTTTCTCAAACCCAATCTGACCCTTTGGGAAAGAGGAAGAGCGAGAGCATGTCAAAAGGGCTTCCAAGATCTTCGGTTGTAGCCTGGAGCCAAGACACAGGGATCAGAACAAGCCACAAGGATGTCGCCATGTCCACAATGCCGCTTCTCCCTCTAGATGTTCTTTGCAAACCTTCAGATGCAAAAGTGCTAGAAGTTTTGCCTTCTCGGTGTGGAATATTCCTGAAGGTAGACATGCATTTTCTGGGCCCCCTGCGGCCAAAGCCATGGAGGTTCTACTTTTCTAGGCTGGTTTGGTCTTAAGGCACTTTGCAAATGTGCAGGTCGGTTAAAAAAGACTGGAGTATGCCAAAGACCCCAGGTAGTAAGAGGAGGGGGCTTCCTGCTCTAAAATGGCTCGCTCTTTTTTCTTTGCATGTATCGTATCTTCCTTCCTTCATCGATTATTTTCCCTTCTCCAAAAAGGAACCGAAGCATCCAGACAGCAAGGAGAGGCCAAGACAAAGAGAGAAACTAATTGTGAGAAACGCTTTTAACACCTTTTCGTCTACGTGGCCAATTCCGCCCCACTTTCCTTCCTTGTTTGTGTTGTGTATGTGCACGGCTTGTAGAATGTCTTCTAATAAAAGAGAGAGCCATCCGTTGCGTTTCGGATTGTGTTGACTCTGCATTCTGGGACGCTGCCTAGAAGATTTTGCAGACGAGATAGTCCTTGTCTTAGGACAACAGTTGGGGCCAGAATTTCTGTCACTAAGCATGGCGATGGTTCAGTGGATCATCAGGTGACCCAGCCTGATTTTGACAACTTTTTGCCACAACCATTAAGTTGTTGAGTGAATCTGCCCCCCACACCGCCCCATTGATCTTTCTTGTGGCAATTGTGTGGCCCTATCACAGCCCAGCATAAATTCATCCTAGTTGAAGCTCCCAAATCACGATCAAGTGACCGCAGGACATCAACCCTGTGAGGTAGGCCAGGTCATCGTGACGCAGATTACAGGAATGCTGCTTGATGGTCGCAGGATATAATAACCCAATTGTGAAAGGGTTTCCTGGGGCCCCTTTTTATGGGTGGGGGGTGGAGGGAGCTTCTTTCTCACACTTCCTGCTTTTCCAGGACTGATGGGTGGGTCTTCCTGAAGGTTAACTCCAGATTCCCCCCAGAAATGACCAGGGAGAGCTCCGGAGATGCTTGTCTTCCTCTGCTCCTCACCAGGTCAGCCAGGCTCTTCCTTACAAACAGGGGTGGGCTGGAGCTGATTTGCGGGGAGGGCATCCCCCCCTCTGCAGAAGGTGGCCTTCACCCTGGCTTAATTCAGGGCTCTGCATCAAAAGCCATTAATATCCACCAGGAAAAGGCAGACGCAAGAGGAAGGACTCTGTCTTCTGCCCAATCTTGGCCAGGGGACAAAAGAGAAAGAGAAAGGAAAAGAAAACCCCAAACCTGAGAGCATCGTGGCCCTTTATGTAACTCCCTGGCGCACTCAAAGCTAAACGCATAATTGAAACCACATTTGAAGGCAGACCCAGAAGCAAGGAAAGAACGACACTCTGCAAACAACCACACAAATCCAGAGAAAGTTTCTGCATTGCTAAGGAATTATTTTGGCTATATTTTACTCAGATAAAATGTGACTCGAGCCGATTCTTTAAATGTTCTCTTGTTCTCTTCTGATTCTCACCAGGAAAAGTGTGACACTTGCACAGCTGAAGGCTGGGTTTACATCAAGGTCTGGCTGGTATCTGTAGGAGCTTACAGCTACTTTCACCTACATAATACTTTGGTGCTACAGCTTTCTGAAACTTGGATGCATACGTCAACTAGCTTCCATCTCACAAAGAAAGGAAAGATGGCCTAATGCAGGGGTGTCCAACCTTGGTAACGTTA